CTGAAAGACTTCCTCACCATTACTATTCACAAGTTATTAGACTCATTGTTCACAGCATTGACCAAAACTGCCTAGTTTTGTCTGAAAAGTTTATCTGGAAAGCAAATTTTTGTGTAAACATTTTCAATTTTTGAAAAATGGCCACCAATTCATTTTTAACCTTCTCAAGATAAACAAATTCTGGTTGCTATTCAGTATCCCCTGCTCTACACTATATTTCCATGAACGTGGTGTCTCATTTCTACTCAGTATCATATCTCCAGGCTTTATGGTAAAAAAAAATAGGAGCTTAAACATTTGTAGAACAAATGAATGAGGTCTCAAAGAAACAACATGAAAAGAGACAAAGAGCTAAATCTCAGTTCTTAAATTCAGACTTCCTATCTTTTTAACAAAGCCAACACAGGAAGGAAAGCTACAGTCCAGGTCCAGCGAATTGCAGGGAGGGTCTTGGAACATTCACAGTATTCCTTCCATAAGATAATTTTGATTGAGGCACTTGGACAAGACTGAGCAACCTCCCAGAAAATGTGGGTAGGACAGAGTCAAGAAGCTAAGTATCTAAAGGCCACCTGTTCTTATCTAGCTTTTCTGTTACAGCATATTCTCTGTGGCCCAGATGTCCAATCTAGGAAATGGAATGGATGGTGGTACAAGATAAAAGCACTGATTCTACTGACTAGGGGAAAACATTTGGCAATAACGTTTCAGACAAAGTTCTCATAGAAAAAGTTTACAGAATCCAGAAGGAAAAGACTGGTAACCCAATTACAACATGAGCAAAAGACTTTTCAGAGGAAGATACTTGGATGCCAACAGACACAAGAAGAAATGTTCAAAATTACTGGCAATAAGAGAGATGCAAATCAAAACCACAATGAGATACCATCTCACTCCAGTAGCAGTGTCAAAGTTTAACAGGATAGTAAGCAATAAATGTTGGAGAGTATATGATGAGATAGGAACTCTTACACATTGTTTGTGGCATTGTAAAATGGTACAAGCACTCTGGAAGGCAGTTTGGAGTTTCCTCAAAAAACTGAACATAGAAATTTCACATAACCCAGCAATTCCACTGCTTGGAATATACCCTGAGAAAATGAGAACTGAGGCCCAAATGGAGACTTGTACACCAATGTTCAAAGCAGCATTATTCACCATTGCAAGAACATGGAAACAGCCCAAATGTCCAACCAAAATCGAAAATCACTATCTAACATGAGAGGGACTGGAGAGCATTATGTTAAGTGAACTCACTCAGTCCCATAATAACAAATACTGTATAAGACCATTATTGTAAAATGAGTAAGAGGATCCAAGGGAGAAAGGGTGGGAGCAGAAGGGTGAGCATAGGTGGGGCGGGGGGGTGGTTAATCATAGGGTCGCACAATTTGATGGTTGAAGGAAGAGATGGTAAAGGAAATGGGAAAGATCTGGTGTGAAAAACAATGTATGAAAGCTTTATAAGTAAACCAGTGTATAATAAAAATTTTATTTCAATTTATTTTAAAAAGTGAGCTTAGGAAAATGTAAAACCATGACTGAATGAAAATCCAAATTTTCTGTAAATGTCCATTAAAATCACAATAAAAAAATAAAATCAAGCAAAAAGTTAAAAGCACTGAGAGAAATTATGAGCTGGTAAAACTATAGATAGTACTTATATAGTGCAAATGGTTAATATACTTGACTGCTAACCAACGATTGGTGGGCTTAGTTAAAAAAAAAGTGGGATATTTACTTCCAAAACCTCAGTCATTAAAAGCTCTATGGTATACCATTCTACAGAGAGAGAGAGAGAGAGACACCAAACTAACTCAATGGCTAAAGGTTGTATGCATTTTATAATAATAACTGAACATTAGCCATCAAGCAAAAACTAAATTCTCATTAAAAGCTGTATTTTCAGCTCTAGAACTTTACTTGAATGTACTCACAGTCATGAGACAAACTTCATTGGCCAGAACTCTACTCCAAAACGTAAAGGAAAGTTTTCATTCAAGCTGCCACTAGTCACTAGTTGTTATGTGCCGTCGAGTCTCTTGCGACTCATAGCGACCTAAACTCCTAAAGCCCTAAACTCCGCTCTGTCCTGTGCCAATCACACTGTCTCTGACACTCCCATCCCAATTATCCCAGTCACGGAATCAATCCACCTCATGGAGGGCCTTCCTCTCCTGCGCTGTCCCTCCACCCTCCCAAGCATGATATCCCTCTCCAGGGACCAGTCGGTCCCTCCTCAGAACATATCCAAAGTATGTTAGACGGAGCCTCAAAATCTTTGCCTCCAAGGAGCCACCCTGTTTAACCCTTTCCAGGACAAATCTGTTTGTTTTCCTAGCAGTCCAAGGTATTCTCAATACTCTTCTCCAGCACCACAGCTCAAAGGCATCAATTCTCCTTCTATCCTCGCTGGCCATTGTCCAACTCTCTGATGCATAACAAGTGATTGCGAAGACCATGGCCTGGATCAAACGCACCTTAGTATCCAGAGAGACACCATTGCTCTTCAGTACTTTGGAGAGGTCCCTAACAGCAGACTTCCCCATGGCAATGCACCTTTTAATTTCCTGGCTGCTGGTGCCAAGACTGTTGACTATGGAGCCAAGCAAACTAAAGCTGTGTACAATCTCAGTCTCTTCACCATCCATCCTGATGCTGCCAATTGGTCCAGTGGTGAGAATCTTTGTCTTCTTGGCATTACTACTAGTAGGCAAAATAAAAGTCTGGTGGATGAGCAAGTGTGCCAAGACAGGGAAAGAGAGACAGCTCCTGTTCAGCCTGCTGATCAGCCCTCAATCTGTATTTCTGGCAGTTTTAAGTTATTTTCTTTGGTCCTCCAAAGCTTTGGTATTGACATTACTTGAGTTTGTATCACTAGCAATTTTGTGATGAGTCCTTGGATGATGCAAATGGATAATGCATGCAGCTGCTAACTGAAAGACTGAGGGGCAAAAGCCCTCCAGAGAAACCTCAAAAAAAATGATCTGATGATCATTTTAAAATGATTGCCTTTTTTCTTTTTTTAAGACTTACTTCCAAGTTTGTTTTTTAAACTTTTTTCTTCGTTTACAAAGTTTACAAAGTGTACTGATGTTTAGAGGAGCTCAAACATAGCTCGTAAATTTGTTATTGTTGTTGTCACGTGCCATCAAGTAGCTTGTGACTCATAGTGACCCCTGTGTACAACAGCTCTGAACCCTGCCCTGTCTTGAGCCAGTCTCGCTAATTCCAACCACCTACCCCCATTGCCCCAGTTACTGTATTAATCCATTTCATCCTGAGTCTTCCTCTCCTATGCCATCCTTCCACACTTCCTAACATGATGTCCTTCTCAAAGGACCAGTCCCTCCTAGCCACCTGCCCAAAGTATGTCAGATGGAGCTTCAAAAGCCTAGTCTCAACAACAACAATGAAAGTTGGGGTTTTGTGGGGGTTTTTTTCAAAGAGAAGAGTGAACTGGATGGGGAATGAGGGGTCAGGGAGGAAAATGTGAAACAATGAATGAATGGAAATCCAAGTTCTCTGTACACTTTCATCAAAATCTCAGTTAAAAATATGATGAATCACAATGATTATATGAAACACAATGTGAGTTAAAGACGGTGAAACAAAATGTATATGAATTTTATAAGCAAACCAATATAAAATAAAAATCTAAAAAATAAAAGAAAAAATTCCTAGCCACCAAGGAGAAACTTGGTTTCCCCTTCTCCAAGACAGACCTATTCATTTTCTTGGTGGTCCATGGTATGTTCAAGACACTTCTCCACCACCACCACTCAAATGCATAAATTCTTCTTCTGTCTTCTTTAGTCATCATCCAGCTCTCTGATGCATAGCAAATAATTGTAAAGACCATGGCCTGGACAAGATGCACCTTAGTCTCTAGACTGACATTTTTGCTTCCCTGTATTTTTCCCAGTCCAATTCATCTTTTTATTTCCATTTCCTAACTGCTAGTGCCAAGATGGTTAACTGTGGAGTGAAGCAAGCTGAAGCTGTTAACAACCTCAGTCTCTTTTATATCTATCGTGGTGCAGTCAATCAGCCCAGCAGTGTGAATCTTTGTCTTTTTTATGTTGAGCTTCAATCCATATTGAAGGCTGAAGTCCTCGACCTTCTACAGCAAGCACTTCAGGTCCTCCTGAGTTTCAGCAAGCAAGGTTGTATTATCTGCATAGCAGAGGCTTTGATGAGTCTTCCTCCAATTCTGATGGCACATAAAGCCCAGCCTTCTAAATGATCTGTTCTTCAAATAGATTGAAAAGGTATGGAGACAGAATCCATCTTTAACACACTCTTTTCTTAATTTTGGACCATGTAGTATTTCCTTGATCTGTTCTGAGGACTGCTTCATGGTCCGAGTCACAAATGACCTTCAGCAGATTTTCAGAGGCTGTAAATCATGCAGGAGGAGATTGCCCACTTTTTTATCACAAAGCAGCTGGTGGATTCAAGTCTTCCAGTTGTGGAACAACACCTCACCCTCTAGACCATCATAGATGATTTTGGTTGGGTTTTTAAATTTTATTTTATTTTATATTGGTTTGCATATAAAATTTGTATGCATGTTTCCACTTTTAGTGTATCAGCCACTAACTCTGTGTTGCACAGTTCTATTCTGGTAACAGTAGGTTGTCATGAGGTGAGAAGATTTTAGCAACCTCCAGGACTCGTGTATCTTATTCCTTTCTTAATTCCCAAAGAAGGTGCTTTCTGGCTCCTGAGCTGAGACTGATGTTGAACAGTGTAATTTTTTTTTAATTAAAGATATATTATTATTCCAGAGTCAACTGTTCACCCTTCCCAAGCACCTTGCTGTCTTGGGGATGAAATTTCCTTGCCAACTTTAATAAATGGCACAACTTCTCCAAGCAACCAATCAAGGGTAATTTGTGTTGACACTAAAGCCACCAATTTCAGCTTCATATTCATGGCAGAAATGTCCCCCAGAAAGCAACTTCACCATCTACAGTTTCAAAACTCGGAATACTGACCTTTAAGAACAGAGGGAGAAGACTCAGCAAGTTCTTCTGGTATTCATCTGGGTTCCTGAAAGTTGCCTGTTTATGTTCCAGAAACTTCCTTTCTAGCACCTCCCAGAGATCTTCAGGGCTAGAGGACTGTTCTCCATGTAGGGAATCAAGTTGCACAATATTAATTTGGTTGTCATTGTTGGAACCTGGGTCCCGAGATCCTAGGTCTCCAGTCTCTGTGATGCCTTCTGCCTCCATGCCTTAGGAAAGCAGATCTGGATTCAGAACAGCACACAGCAATGAGAAGTTCCGTTTCACTCTGGAATTTATCAGTCTTTGGTCCTTTACCAAGGATTTCCGGAGCTGGAGCTATTATGAGTTAAATAGCACAGTACTTCCTGACGAAACTGGCTGTGAGGCAGGCAATAGTACTCATTCAGCCCAGTTCCTGTTGAAGATGGTTCCTCTAAGAATCTGAAACAGAGAAAATAAGGAAGATTTTAAAACAGATTCTGATTTCAATGTGACTATCAAAGTAAACATCTGTGTCCAACATCTTCCACAAAACTTCTTACAGCCACAGTGAGAGATTAGTTTTCATCTTCTCTTTATCTAAATGAAGAGATTGATCAAAACAGTCAGACAGCTAGAAATCCAAGTGAAAGGCAAACTAAGCCTCAAAGTCTGTTTCTCGATTTTAATTACCAGTGTTGCTCTTCTTAAAAGACTAAAGGACTAGATGATGAATATGTAAATGTTTACCTAGTATTTATAGGATCATGAGCCACTACACCTTAATTTCCTTAAATTCTAACTTGTAATTTCCTTCTACCACATGAGTTTGAAATAATATATGTTCTTCATTCTCAGTATTATTTAGTTCACTCCCAATATCTTGAAAAAGCTCTTCTTAAAATGATTCTTTAACCACTTGGACTAACTAAAAGGAGCTCTTCTATAAGGGCACAAGGGCAAAAGTTGTGTAAGTCTAGAAACTCAAGTCAGTGGGCATAGAAACAATAGTTTCTGCAAAGCTCTATTAGCTGGATAACCATCAGAATTTTTTTTTATTTAGATTGTGGACTTTTCAATTGTCAAACTCTTTGTGTGAATTATGATCAACTGAAAAATGACAGTGGTTTTTCACTATACCATTTAATGGGTCTTGTTTACTTGTTGGGAGTTCAGGAAGCTCTCAGAAGACACTAAAATTTCTTGGCACTCTTCCAGATGTCACTCCCAATCACAAGGGCCTCATGTGATGTGGGAATCTTACCCTGGAGTTTGGACAACTGTTACAATCACAAGATAGTAACCAATTGTATAGACACACAGAGGCGCATTAACCAGAGTTTAGCTTTCGCCTATGGTGATATATTATGCTTTATTTTTTAGCCCAGAACACATGTTACTTTCAAGCTTTGAATGCGAATAAGTTAATATCAAGTGTCCAATTAATCATCCCTCTGTCTTAGTTATCTAGTGTTATGATAGAAATACTGCAAGTGCATGCTCCCACCACAGAAATATAGTCTGCCACAGTTTACTAGGCTAGAAATTTCAGAGTGTGACATCTAAGGCCTTTTATCTCTGAGCTCTGGAGGAAGTTTGTAGGCTCAGAATTCCTCAGATTCTCCATGTGTTTTTACCTTTGGACTTATACTATGCGTAGGAGTTACCCAGCAGAGGAACCTGGCCCTTAAACGATCCAATCCACTCTTGCTGACTCTTTCTTGGTTGTAATGTAAAGGAGTGTGTCAGGGATGCATCCTGTCTCCATACATTTTCAATCTATAGACATTGCAGATCATTCAGGTGGCTGGACTTTATGATGAGGAATTTGGCATCAGGATTGGAGGATGACTCATCAACAACCTAAGTTATATAGATAACACAACCTTGCTTGCCAAAACTGAGGAGGACCTGAAGCATTTGATGAAGAAAGTCAAAGAGTAGAGTCTGCAATATGGATTAAAACTCAACATCAAGAAGTCAAAAATCCTCACCACTGGGCCAACTGGCAGCACCAACACAGATGGAGAAGAGATTGAGATTGTTAACAATTTCATGTTGCTCAGATCTACAATCAATGCTCTTGGCACCAGCAGTCAGAATATCAAAAGATGAATTGCATTAGGAAAATCTCCTGTCAGAGACCTCTCCAGAGTGCTGAAGATGAATGATGTCAGTCCAGAGACTAAGGTGTGTCTGATACAAGCCATGATTTTTGCATCAGAGAGCTGGACGATGCCTAAGGATGGCAGAAGAAGAATCAATGCCTTTCAGAAGAATCAATGCCAGGTTCTAGAGAAGAATATTAAACATATCATGGACTGCCAAGAGATCAAATAGACCTATCCTGAAGGGTGAAACCAAGTTGCTTCTTGGAGGCAAAGATTTTGAAGCTCTGTCTCACATACTTTGGGCATGTTATCAGGAGGGACCAGTTCTTGGAGAAAGATATTTTTTTGAAAGATGGAGGGTCAGTGCATGAGAGAAAAACTCTGAATGAGCTGGATTAACACAATGACTATGGTAATAGGATCAGATGAATCAGATACAGAGAGATTGGCTCAGGAGAGGGCAGGGTTTAGCACTAGTGTCCATAGGGTTTGTTTGGGTTGTTGTGGTCTCGATGGCACATAGCAACAACACACACACATCTTTAGCGAACTTTCCTCCCCTTTTGATCTCTTGTGAGCTGAAAGGTGTTTCAGGTCACAACCCTAGGAGCCTTTTCTTACATAGGATTAAGGCTGTGAAGGGATTAAGTGGTGTAGCATTCCAACTTAATCCTTTTCTACCTGTTTGGTTTATCAGATCATGGGGGATCCACATTATAATATTACTTAAAGGAGGTGTTTTGAGAGACATAATTAAACTCAACACTCTTTTTGAAACTTTCACCCCTTTATGTATATAATTCTGTGTGCCTTGGCTCCTCTCCTATCACAAACATTTCTGATCTCAGATATCATTTTAATTTTAAGGAGCCATTTTATTACAAAAATTATGTATAGTCATGGTTGAAAACCGGAAAAGGACAAAATACCAGGAAATATATAGAAATTTCCCATAAGCTTGCTACCCTGGAAATGACCCTTGGTATTTCATTGTATATATGCCCAGTACAGACTTTAATAATGAATATATAGCTTAGTAATAATACATTCATAACACTGCTTAAATAAACTTTTTACTTCTTCTTTTACTTTTTGAGGCTGTGAGAGTTTTGCTTCTTTGTTGGGGGTTAAACCTCAGAGGCAATCAGAGGAGTTCCTCACAGGCCCTTGGGTAAGCACTCTCTTCACTAATTGGGCAAGGGCCCTGCGGGCACCGGTCACATTCATCTATCTCTTTGACTCACAATTCCTCATTCTCATCCTCTCTTTTCCTATATGGCATGGCCACCACTCCCACCTGATTGGCACATTTGATAAGAACCTGTAACTAGCAATGAATCCTTCTCAAATACGTGACATGATGTGTGATTTCATTATGTAGGCCTTTCTTAATCACCTGAATAATTTCTGCTTGATCCAGACCCCCTTTCCACAGATTTTCCCCCATCTACATTAGGTTTTTAGAAATAACCATGTGACTGTATTTATCAAGTAAATTTCTTCTAACTTCTCTTCAGTGTTTTAAGTAGGCATCTGCATACTTAGTTGCTTAACTAATGATAGCTAATGACTATGCATGATGCTATTGAGGACATTTCTCAATGTGGCCCCTCATGGGGCTGATAGACCTAACTCTAGGAATGTGCATTTATATGTCTTTCCAAAAATAGTGGCTGTAAGGGCACTGTGGCAATGTCTGGCCCCCATGAACTTCACAAGGGAGAAGAGTCCTCATCCACAGAATCAACAGCAGCCCAACACAAGGTCAGACAGCTTTCTCACTCTGTGTAAGCTATCGCTCTGTCTCATGTCAGTCTTCTGTTTCTTCTGCCCATCTTCTACCTCTCTTGTTGCTTTCTCTGCATCTCCCCATCTTGTCATCTAGCTCTTATGTCAGCTGTCTGAAGTTGCAACTTTCCATCTCCTGGTTCAAGGAAGTTTCAGTACAGGAGTCTCAGATCTAAAGACACAAAAATCTCCTGGTTTTTCCTTTTAATGATAGTAAAATTTCCCTTTTCTGTCTATATAATTTTAAGTCTGGTGGAATGGTAAAACTGACCACTCTCTATATTGAAGTTACAAGCATCTTGTTTGCATTGTCTCACCCCACAAGAATAACATTTACTTATTTACAATATTGCTAAGCTATCCAGTATCCTTGAAAAGCCACAAACATCTCACATGCTTATGATCTCATCCAGTAATCACATGGAGATTACAAAAACTACATGGATGGAGATTAGAAAAGCCACATTGAGTAACTCACTGCACTGCAGCCTTCCACAAGTTGTCTCCACACCATGCTGCCTCTGAAGAGCACAAGTGCTGTCACTCCATTGTCACTGTGCTTTGCATCATCCAGTTTTCTAAGTTGCTAACTTAGTTGGAATAACACAATCCCTTGTTATCATTTTTATTTGAGTTTCTTTAAGTTGCTAAGAAGTGTGAACATATACTGATTTCATTTTTCTCTTTTAACTGGCTACTCAGATAAACACTCTGTATCAGCAGCCAAGAAGTCAAAAGACAAATTGCATTGGAGAAAACTACTGTCAAGAAACTCTCCAGAGTACTGAAGAGCAATGATGTCAGTCTAGAGACTAAGGTGCACCTGATCCAAGTCATGGTCTTGGCAATTATTTGCTATGCATCAGAGAGTTGAACAATGATTATGGGTGATAGAAGAAGAATCTATGCCTCTGAGTTGTGGTGCTGGAAAAGAGTACTGAACAAACCAGGGACTGCTAATAAAATAAACAAGTCTACCTAGAAAGGGTGAAACCAGGCTGCTCCTTGGAGACAAAAATTTGGAAGCTCTTTCTGATATACTTTGGACATGCTGCAAAGAGGGACCAGTCCTTGAAGAGACAAATCATGCTTAGAAAGGTGAAGGGACAGCACAAGAGAAGACCCTTGATGAGATGGATCAACTCAATGACTGCGGTAATGGGTATGTAGGTGTGTTGGAGATGATGAAATTGGCTCAAAATAGAGCAAGGTTAAGAGCTGCTGTACATAGGGTCGCTATGAGTCACAAGCAACTCAATGACACATAACAAGAAGTCTTTGCTTATCTCCTTTTGCTTGTCCTTTTATGGTTTCTTTTTAAGAGTCACTAATATACACCACAACAGA